TAAAAAAACAGCTGGGGCTACAGGGAGACCCTGCTTCAAAAAGACCAAAAAAAACAAACAAAAAAAAATAAATAAAACTACAAATGAACCTACCATTTGACCCGGTTATACCACTCCTTGGCATATACCCAAAGAACTCACCCTATTGCAGAGACACTTGTACATCCATGTTTGTTGCTGCTCTTTTCACAATAGCTAAGAGATGGAAGCAACCTAGGTGTCCCTCGGTTGATGAGTGGATAATGAAAATGTGGTTCATATATACGATGGAGTTTTACTCAGCAGTAAAGAAAGATGAAATCATGAAATTTGCAGGTAAATGGATGGAACTAGAAACTGTTATACTAAGTGAAGTAACACAGACTCAGAAAAAAAACAAACAAAACAAAACAAAACAATGTATGTTCTCCCTCATATGTGGCTCCTAGTACCAAATCCTGATAAGTGATTATGTATCCAGACATAACTACAGGAACAAGGATAATGAAAAGGAATCAGGGAGGTAAAGGAAAAGAAAGGGGGAGGTGGGAGGGAAGGGTACACAAGGAACTAGGGGATAAAGTGAAAGAAGGGGCTCAAGAGAGGTACGACCATAGGAGAAGGGGATTATTAAGGGAGAAAGTGGAAAAATGGGAGCACCTTAATTGGGGAGACCATGATGGAGGGGTTAGACAATGCAAGAGATAAATAATGCCTAGCTAGTTTTAAAAACCAGAGGGAACCATATTAGTCAAACAACCTACTGATAAATTATACATACCAGATCAAGAAATATATGTCTAGGCAAGGTTTATCTGAGAACAGTTGGTTTTTGCCCAAGATTTATCTACATGGCACACAGTAATTAAAAGTACCAGACTGCTGGAACTAACCTTCTTGGATGTTTAACAGGCATATTTTTAGGTTGGTCAGAGGGACATAAAGGACAGTTTTTGATCCTTGCCCTCCTAGGTAGACTAGTTCCAGGGGACTATGAGCATCTCCCAAAATGGCCTGTAATTGTAGTGGGTCACCTGTCCTCTTGATCAAGGAGGTCGTGGAGACCCCACAAGATGGACTTGAACCAGTGTCCAGTCTACAAAGAGGGGGGTCAACACAGAGGAATCATTTCCTCCGTGCTACCAAGTGAAGCCAGCCATGGTCCAGTAGGACCTTTGACTTATCTTCAAATAGGCAGAACTGGTAAAAGAAAGGAGCCAGGTGCGCCTCCCAAGCCCATGTGACCCCTCAGGAACAGATCTTCAAATGGCCTTAAAAGTAAAAATAAATTGGTTTATCTGGGCCAACTGTTTGGACTTAAACACCCAAAAGGAAAGTATAGGCAAAGATTAAAGGGGCCAATATAATTCTTTAAGAGTTCATATGTATAGCTAAAGGCTACATAGCAAGCAGCAATGCCAGATAGGAGATACCTTCTTTTGAGTTGTTGGCCAGGGTGGCCCAAGGGACTCCCAGATAGTAACCCAGCATAGAACTGGGAAAATGAACAACAGACCCCAATCTTATCTAAAGGAATATTGACAACCAATTTCTGCTAGATGAGGAACAGCTGACCTTCCTAAAACAAAAACCTTTAGATAGGCTGACTAGATTCACCAGATGGACAAGTAGTGGGGAACCGCTGG